TATTCCACTTAATCATCCATCTCCTTGTTGAATATAACACTTCAGGATAATTTGAAACTTTGCATGTCAACTATCTCCTTATGCCAAATGTCTTGATAAAATCCTCACTGATGCCAACATAGATCAATTTATCTCTATTTCTATACTGTAGTGGCATTTTGAATCTTCTTTAAGAAGCATAGCCATACTGTTTTAACACTTTCATATGATAATTATCTACAAAAAACAAAATTTAGCTCTAGTTTTGTTATAAATTTTACTAAAAGTTGACAGAAGTTACAAAAACGAAAACTACAGCAGTTGACCAACGATGCATTTTAGCTTCATTTGTCGATGTTCATTCTGATGACACTAAAATGCATCACCTGATAATGGGTTTCCCAAAAATCAGGTCCTTAACCCCTTAACTGCGTTGCCTCCAAATGTGACACCCCCGCAGTGCGCAGGAAATAAATTCTCTGGAAAAAATTATTTTTTCTTTTTGAAGTGTCAAAAACCCTTCCCTCAGTATGGGTATGCAAAAAAAAAAGTCGAAATTGTACTTACTTTGGCTGCTATGGGGTCCGGAAGTTGGGGCGTGACGTCATCATTCCCCGTGCGCCCGTGCCGTAAGCTCTCGGGGGCGGTGGGGCGCTCGGGGCGGGGCGCGCGAGTTGCCGCGAATATATTTTCGTTCATTTTTTGCGCACCTTTCCAAATACATTTTCATTGTTTTTATGTGCCAATCCAATGTATAATGAACACGTACACTATAATATCGCAGTACAACATCCGTACTGTCCGTAGACACTGTGTTACGTGCATGAAACTTGTGTACACATATGCAGCACATATTTACTATGTATCATGCTAATTTGTGTATATATACAATCTATTTACACACTATACACTGTCACACACTATATACATTCACCATCAACACATTCAGAACACCGCATAGTAGCTGCTTCGTATGGGCCAATAGCAGCTGCCTCGTATGGGCCAATATCGTATGGGCCAATAGCAGCTGCTTCGCATGGGCCAATAGCAGCTGCCTCGTATGGGCCAATAGCAGCTGCCCCGCATGGGCCAATAGCAGCTGCCCCGCATGGGCCAATAGCAGCTGCCCCGCATGGGCCAATAGCAGCTGCCCCGCATGGGCCAATAGCAGCTGCCCCGCATGGGCCAATAGCAGCTGCCCCGCATGGGCCAATAGCAGTTGCCCCGCATGGGCCAATAGCAGCTGCCCCGCATGGGCCAATAGCAGCTGCCCCGCATGGGCCAATAGCAGCTGCCCCGCATGGGCCAATAGCAGCTGCCCCGCATGGGCCAATAGCAGCTGCCCCGCATGGGCCAATAGCAGCTGCCGCGTATGGGCCAATAGCAGCTGCCTCGTATAGGCAATAGCAGCTGCCGCGTATGGGCCAATAGCAGCTGCCGCGTATGGGATAATAGCAGCTGCCTCGTATGGGCCAATAGCAGCTGCCTCGTATGGGCCAATAGCAGCTGCCTCGTATGGGCCAATAGCAGCTGCCGCGTATGGGCCAATAGCAGCTGCCGCGTATGGGCCAATAGCAGCTGCCGCGTATGGGCCAATAGCAGCTGCCGCGTATGGGCCAATAGCAGCTGCCGCGTATGGGCCAATAGCAGCTGCCGCGTATGGGCCAATAGCAGCTGCCGCGTATGGGCCAATAGCAGCTGCCTCGTATGGGCCAATAGCAGCTGCCTCGTATGGGCCAATAGCAGCTGCCGCGTATGGGCCAATAGCAGCTGCCGCGTATGGGCCAATAGCAGCTGCCTCGTATGGGCCAATAGCAGCTGCCTCGTATGGGCCAATAGCAGCTGCCTCGTATGGGCCATGAACACATTTAGAACACCTTGAGTGAGAGCAGCCACACCCAGCCAGTCTCCCTCACTCCAACATCTTACTCGCCAACATTGCTCCTCCCACCATATTGCTATAGTTCTTATTACACATGTTCTATATACCTATCTACATGTTTTATTTGCCAGAACTATGCAAGTAAGCCGGTATTGTGTCCAAACAGTACAGTGGCCACCATACACTGCATGAAAAATCACACAGCAGACGACGCTACGATTACGTCACCTCCCTCACCAAAATAGCTCCTCTCAACATTCTCCTGTTGCTGTTCTTACACTATATACACACACTATATATACCCATGTACATATGTGTTGCCCATAGTGAACCACTAAGCTAGTATGGTGAGCAAAACAAGAGTGGCAGCCACACACACACAATTGAGGCTACCTCAATTCTCGCCCTCCCTCCCTCATCAAAATTCCTCCTTCCACAATACTACGCACAACGCTAATTATAACCACATTCCTGCTATTATCACAATCCTGGTCACTAATTCCTGTAAATGAATAATTGACCACACGTTTATTTTGAAAAAGAACCTAAGAAATCATTTGAAGATTCCTAGATGAACGAAATAATGCTCTGGTGCTGTGGCTAACGCTGTGAACATCGTGAACAGCATTGAATCACTGATATTTGAACATTGTACCCAGTCATTATCACACTCAGGCTCTAATATAACACTAAATAATACAATTTATATATATATTTTGACATTATTAGTCGATGCTGTGGTCACTTGCTGAACAGCAGTGCTGTGCGCTCATGCTGCGAGCGCCAGCCTTGGTTGCTCACACACTACTGAGGCTCTCACACCCGGGAATGTGGACCACGATTTTTTTTAAAGATGGCGTCTGTTTACAAGAGCCCTGAGGAAGCTGATGTGAACCCCATGTAGCCGCGGGAGTTTTGAATGGAACGTGAAAAATACAAATACCCGGAGGCGCGTTGCGCAAACCAGACGTGAGCCTGCAGGCGCGTTGCGCAGTTTAAGGGTTAACCATTATATTTGTGCCTTCATAATGAAACTGATAAAATACATGGCCACAGTCTGAACCGAGTTTATCATTGGTCTAACCAACGTATCTGCGAACAGCCAGAGATCATCTTGGCCAACCACTTCATCATTCAGAATAATTGCTCAGCTTTTGCATATATGGTTAAATATTTCTGAATTTTTCATATATTCAGTGACACCATGCATAAATTATAATGCACAAACTATTTATTATTCATCTACAGCATTTATTTCTAAACATTGAAAAATTCCTAATAAAAGTACCCCCTCCCCCTTAAAACTTTGAAAACTTAAAAAAAAAAAGTATTAACGATTTTACGTATTGCTGGGTGGGGCCCTCAGAGGGCAGGACTGTTTACCATTGCATACATGGCCAAACCATTATATGTTAATAAACTCTTTCAAAAAATGTAAAACATATGGAAAAAACTGAACATTATTTTAATGCTGTATTTCTATACAGTATATTTTATGTATTATATGCTGTATATAACAGCATGCATTGAATTTTGGTAATACTCTGTAAATCTCTGTTAGAGAAATTTTAACAGATTTTATTGTTACGTGGCCAAATTATTATTTTTATTGGATTCTTATAATGGTATCTGAATTAACAACTTGGATACATTCTAATAAAATGATCAGTGCAAATGGCTCAATGTCTACCACCCAATTATATTCAAGTGCTCAACTTTGAATGATCACCAATCTGTGTGTTATGTACAAGAGAAATGCTCAACTCAATGTTTGAGGAAGAATCTATATATATACACTAGTACAGTGAAGCATTGAAAATCCAGAAAGATTAGGGCCAAACATTCTAATTCTGTTTCCCAATTATTTCAATCTGAGGTATTGAATCTCATTGTTGGATCAATTTTATTGATATTGATCTAACATTATAAAACATGTTGAACCCGTTATTGATCTGATACTAGATCAACACTTGATAATGACAATGTCTTATCAACACGAGTGGTTTTGGTTCATCGTAAATTCAATGATGTATTTAAACAAGTTTTCAAAATTGTTGTAGGCTTCATAATATTTTTAAATTACTTTATTTAGTTTACATAGTTTTATGTCCAGAAATTCAGTGCTCCACTGTACTACATGCACTTGTGCTATGCCATTTCTTTCCTCCTGTGCATAAGTTTGTTTTTTTAATCTTTGATAGCTTGAAAATAACATTGTGTATTGATGTGTAGATAGATAACTAACTCGTATTCAAGTTGGCCCTTGGCTGTTTGCTGGTTTGCATTTTAATTTTTATATACAGACGAGTCACAATAACGTGGCTGAAAATATTATGACCTAACCACAACTCAGAAGCTGGAGAGGTGACGACATTTTGGTTCATCCTGGACCATTATCAAGTCGTGTAAAGACCAAACAAGTATCAAGACCGAAGCATCGTCGCTTCACTACCTTCCGAGTTGTGGTTTGGTCATAATTTATATATATTTACATTACAAACCTTTGAATTTTAATGATGGTATTATACTCATTGTTACTCAGAATGCCACCAACTATTATAATTAAAGCATGTGTAACTTACCAGCAGTGAGAACTGATGCATACATGCATTAAGAATACTTGCGTTATGCAAGAATACTTGCGGATGCATTAAAAGTAGTTGGGTTTATTATCATTCAACTTAATATACTAGCATAATTGTGGAAGCTAAATTTATACAAACTTACAAATTTAACACATGATCTGTAACACCAAAGTATCATTTTATTTGTACAAGTTAATGCCATGTCAGTTGTAGTGCCTCGGTGTTGATGCAGCTGTTCTATAAATTTAATAAAAAAAACTAAGTGTTGTTATATTTGTTTTAACACTTTAAATGTTATACCTCCAGTAAAGCTTTTTTTTTTTAATAGATAATTCCGTTTAGCTTAAGCATTTTTTTATAAGAATTATAGCCATTATCCGAGTTGTTAATAAATGTAAAAAAATGAAAATAGTGACAGCCTATCAATATCTTCATTAGATTTTTTCATATGGCACTTACATATTTCTTTATGTGCTTACATTGGTCACAAGGTGTCATTACACACTTTAAAATTACCCGAGGTTCATATTTAATTATGAAAAAAATATAGGAGATTGTGTTTAATACAAAAGCTTTATTCCAGGGCATAATTCATAGGTAAATATTTGTCTCTAGGACAAATTCAATAGCAATGGAAAAAGTAACATTTATAATATCCTTGTTAATACTGTACATTATTAAGAATAACTTACTTATAATCTAAATAATCACTGCAAAGAATTTTGCCTTTACCCTGACACTTCCTTCTCTTTCTACAGTAGCTCCTGAGTTAATGTGAAGTCATTCATTCATTCAACTTGTTTTATAATATTTACATTTTGTCAATGTATTAATGCCTTTTCTCAAATATTCAATTAAAAGTTCTTATCTGTAAGGAAGGAATTACATTGTGGCTGGATTACAAGATGATAACATCTAAAGGTTCTTATTGCTGAACTTGTTGCTGGTCACGAAGAGGTGTGTGCTGGTTGATGTCTGCAGAACGCCTCTTCTTATATATAGAAATACCAATGGCTGCAGCAATGATGACAATGAGAGCAATTAGGACACCAATAATGATGCCTACAGGAGCTTTTGATGTTTCTGGAGAATCTGTAGAAGTATCTGAAAGAGATTTATAATTTACTTATGGTCTCCAAATGAATGTTTAAGAATTTATCATTAGACTCTTTAATCTCCCCCCCCCCCCCCCACCCCTTACACACACACACACACACACACCCTGTATACCACTTATGTAAGGCCAATCCTGGAGTATGCAGCTCCAACCTGGAGTCCATACCTAGTTAAACACAAGACAGAGAAGATTCAGCGGTATGCCACCAGGCTCGTCATGGAACTGATAGGAATGAGCTACAAGGAAAGGCTAAAGGAGCAGAACCTCACATCCCTGGAAAACAGAAGAGTAAGCGGAGACATGATAACCACCTACAAAATTCTCAGGGGAATTGACAGGGTGGACAAAGAAAAACTCTTCAGCACGGGTGGGACACGCACACGGGGACACGGGTGGAAACTTAGTACCCAGACGAGTCACAGAGACGTTAGGAAGAATTTTTTCAGTGTCAGTAGTTAATAAATGGAATGCACTAGGAAGTGATGTGGTGGAGGCTGACTCCATACACAGTTTCAAATGTAGATATGATAGAGCCCAGTAGGCTCAGGAATCTGTATACCAGTTGATTGACAGTCGAGAGGCGGGACCAAAGAGCCAAAGCTCAACCCCCGCAAGCACAATTAGGCGAGTACACACACACACTACACTGTAATTACCTAAGTGTAGTTACAGGATGAGAGCTTTGCTTGTGGTGTCCTGTCTTCCTAGCACTCTTGTCATGTAATGCCACACTACAGACAGTTTTGGTCACTTATCTCACTTATCAGTTTTCTCACTTATCATGGTTACAACAGTCTACCACTCTATTTGCAAAAAACTTTGATATTTTTTGGCACCTTTGTTTCCTTAGCTTGAATCTTGAGGCTTCAAGAAAACTTCAAGACCTCTTGTTCTTGATTTCCAGTTTCAGGAAGTCCTCTTTGTAAATTTGGTAAATTTGCATTATTATTTTGCAAGTGGTGATCATATCTATTATTTTTATTCTGTCTTCTTGCTTTGGCATATTTAATGCCTCTAACCTCTTCTCATAACTCCTTTTTTTCAGTTCTGGAAGACATTTTGTAGCATGCCTTTCCACCTTTTCCAGTTTATTGATCTGCTTCTTTAAATGTATGCACTATACAACTGCTTCATATTTCAATTTTTATCTCACAAAAGTCACTCACGATTTTTGTGAGAAAATTTAGAGCAAGGATTTTTTTCAGCGCTCTTCTGAACCTCTTTTTGATATATTGTCACATAATATCCTACTCACATTGCAACTTCTTCATAGTTACTGTATATATCACTAATCAAAGGGCTAATGTCACATTGTCTCTTACGTTCCTGGTTCATCTTATGGAATAGTTTGCTGTAACACCTTATATTTTCCTGGATTCTTTTCATCTCCAATTATTCAAAGCCTACCAGTGGAGCTATTATTTTTAACCTATATTTTTTCCTGTCCTAAAGTTATGTATATAATCGAATGGGGAAACTATTTTCACAAAGACTTACTCTAAAACTTTCATTGTGTATCCAGGATCTTTAATTCGCTTTCCAACTCGCCTGTACTTTTATTCTTACAACCACACACTTATGTTTACACATATATCCTTACACATATTCACTGATGTTTTCATGATATGATTTGTATCTTCAAATTCCACACACATGTACAATACTTATGTTCTTTCACATTCATTTATGTACATGGTCATTTTACTCAACACACATCACACTATGTACTACATTGCATGTCTCAACATCTGCCCTCTTATACAGAAATACCACTCATGGTACCCTACACCACATTACACCACATGCCACATAGGACTTACCAATTCTGTGCTCTGGTGTCACAAATGGGTTCTCAGTCGAGTAGCTTGGAACGGTGAACTGGCTCGGGATAGTGAATTGTGACACGTCCTCACGTATCACAGGAGTGAACGTATCTGTAGAGATAACTTTAGTTTAGAAACTTAACAATAGTTTGTTACAAAAATGCATTAAGTTTCTATAAATTTAAAATGCTATAACTTTTTAAAGAAAAAGAATATTAATGTACAGGTATATTATAATGTCATGCAAAGACTTCTTTAAAGCCCACATAAATTATACAAAATTGTACAATGTAAAATATAAAATTGTATCATCTTTATGTGCTTTTTGTACATTATACCGATATATACTCTACATTTCTGGTCAAGTGACAGATTCACATCAGGGCCCCATACATAGAATCCAAAATTCCAGTGGATCCAGTTTTTGCTCAAGTTTGACTATTTTTCTTTTGTATTTACTGCTGCATTACAGCAAATATATCTTAATTTTGAAAAATGCAAATTCATCTATCCAGGAATTCAGATCAGCCAAAAGAAACTGCAAAAGACAACTTGCTCAAAACAAAGAAAGATCCAAAGTCTTTCTATGCCTATATAAGATGAAAACCCAAAACAAAAGTCAGCCAACACTAGTGTTACCACCGATGTAAAGTAATGATTCAGAGATACTATTTTCAAAAAGGCAGAAAAGAGCTACGCAGAAAATTACCATCCAATCGGCTTAACTTTGCATATCTAGAAGCTCGTGGAGACTCCTAAAGGAGGGAATCATTCAGTATCCTACCATGAACTAAATACTGTAGTAAAATCAATGCAACATGGTTTTGTTAAAAATAAATTCTGCCTTACAAACCTGTTCACATTTTTTGGAAACTTACCAGCTATTCAGACAAAGGCCTTCCAGTAGATATAGTATACATGATCACTAAAGCTTTAGATAAGGTACAAAAAAGGTACCGGGGACACTAAAAAGCCCCAAAATCATCTCAAGATAACCTCAAGAAGGTACCACATGAAAGGCAAGGAAATTACAAGCACATTAGGTAAATGGTAGAATACTAGAGTGGCAAAAAACAAAGAAAGGGAGGGGTCATCCTAAACAGGAATGAATGACTGGAGAAATGTGGTGACTGGGGTACTATGAGGTACAAACTACATTAAACTTGTAGATCACAGCAAGATTTTTGGCAAGTAAGAAATGTAGTGATATTGACAACTTAGAGATCCACATGAACTCCACAAATGGTTGGAAGATTGGCAAATGCTTTTTAACATAAAAAAATGCAAGAAATTGCATTGGAGTATACATAACTATCAAATCAACAACATTGCTTTACAGCAGGTTGATGAAGAATAATCAGAATCCACCAATCTCTGAAACTTGCACAAGTGTGAGCTGCAGTAAAAAAAAATAAACTAAACCCTAAGAATAATCAAACCTTTGACTTCAAGGAAATGAAGGTAGGTATTGAACTGAGGAAAGGCATCACCTCCTGGACTATTTTATCAAAGTATGGAGACCATCTTCAGAATGCCATTACTGTACTTTGAGGAAAGCTTAACATGAGGCAACAAAAATAATTTCAGAACCAAGTCGACTCCCATACCAGGAACAGTTGAGGGCAACAGGGCTAACAGCACTGTAAACCAGACATGACAGGGCTGATCATCAAAACTATTACAATATTGAACAATTTAGAGGATATTGATCCAGACCACCACTTTAAAAGGACAGATGTAACACATACATGGAGCAACAGTTTCAAGTTCAACAAGTCACAATGTAGGACAAATACTTGTTCATCCATGAAATTATGAATCTATGGAATGGCCTACCTGTCGAAACTGCAAATGCCATAACACTGTTGCAATTCAAGGTCAAACTCGATAAAATCATCAGGACAAATTTGGGGACCATTGACAAGCCTCTGACATCCTGTCCTCATCAAAACCACTAGAATGTGAGTGACCCTCGGGTAAATTCAGGTAAATGACATAGGGTTCAATTCCTAGACACGATTAGATGCTTTAGCATGTTCCCTTACACCTGATATCTCTATTTATCAAACAATAAACAAACAAGCATTATCAAACAAGTACTGACTGTACTTGGTACCTGGGAGGTTCTGACTAGGGGAACCTCAATAAGCCTAATAAGTTGTGTAATTTTTTGTCTAAGTTGTTAAAAGCAAAACTAATTTTTTAAATTTAATAAAAATAATTAGAACTTACCATTGCAATCGATGTTTACATCAACTGAGTAGTAATCTGCTTGTGCCTCTATAGCACTGTCATCAATAGCCACAATGGACACCTCACTGCTATGGGTACCCTCAAATCCTGCAAGGATGGTCGAGCCTTCCACACTTGCCTTGCCATTGATGAGGACTTTCAGCTGAAGAAATAAATTACCACTTGTGAGAATTATGAAATTACAATATAACATTATTACACCATTTTCCAGTTATGTGGATGGGAAGCATTAGAAAATAGCCTGCCACGTAGATGTCTGTCTATATGGTTTGGTCTTTATAACAAGCAGTGAACAATAATACTAGAACAGTTTTAGGGCATTGCGACATTTAGGGGAATATATATACTTAATGAAGAAATGAAGACAAGAAAGTGTTAGCACTGTTGTTGGCCATCATGAAAATTGAAGGTAAACTATGGATAAAATGGAAAGGACAAATACTGAGTGGATGGATAATACAGAAAAGAATAAAATGAGGAGAGAATGAAAGGGAAGGGGGGGGGGGGGACAGTAAAAAGAGTAAAACATGAAACAAGGATGCCACAGTAATGTAGACAGTATGTTCTCACCATATTGTTGAGATGAGTGATGTTAACAGTGTTCCACTGTTCAGGCAGAAGTACACTGCTATTTTGATAGCCATTTTCCTTCATGGTCTTACACGGTAAATCTTGGACGTCACACTTCAGCAACTTCAATGTCGTGTTCTCTACAATAACCTGAAATCATTTGCGCATATAATCGTATCTTTACCATTATTTGGCTTAACACAATCAGCCTGCATAAACAAAAAAATAAAAAACGATGATGACCAGAACAAGTAGTGTAAAGAAGGATGTCGTGTAAACAGCATCTTTTATTCCAAATATAACATGATGCCAATTCCTGAAGCCTTAACAAGTTGCATGCTATACTGTATTCATAAGCAATATTTGAAATGTAATTGCTAGTTAAGTTCAGTACATTTTAAGTAACATTCCAGTATTTCATACAGTTCTTTTAATATTAAAGTTCTGAATTTAATTATATTATTTAATTTCAGTTGCACTCCCAATCACACTACAAAATTATTTGCATTTTATTTGTGTTACACTGTTATGTAACATGGCAATATATGTTATGTAATTTTATTACTGTTACGTAATATAGTATATGGCAAACTATTAAAAACTTTAACTATTTAAAACAAAATTAATTATTTAGTTGTACCTAGGACAAACTATGTACAACTTAGTAATACAAAATTGTATTCTCTTCTAGAATTCCAATGTTGACAGTCCAATTCTTATCCCTTTTTTCCACTAAATTATTAATTTTTTGATCTTGATAACCACTTTAATTTCTAAACATTCTAAAAATTTTCTTCATTATAAGTTATGTCTCTTAACTACTTTCCCAGTACCAGTCATTAGTTCATCCTGACCTACTACTATTACTCATTGTCATGCTGTCTTTTGCATAGATCATTCCTTTTCATCTTCCTTCCCTATAACATTGATCCCATCTCTCACTATTCTCTCCATATTTCTTCACATTTTCCCTACATTTCATATTTATCTCTGTCGCTATTGGTGTGCACACAACTCTTGGCCCTTGGTTACCTTGAAGAGCAAGCCATCAATGAGGACCCGTATGTACAGCAATGACTGGCTAGGGAAGACCGCCAAGGAAAGGCTCTTCTGGAGACTGATGAAGGGCAGGGGATGCTCCAGTTCCACTTTGTAAAAAGGACATTCCTTGAAGGCTGTAAATAGGAAGTTAAATTTTAATACTAGTCACATTTGCAATGTGTAATATTGAAGTACTGTACAGTAATACTGTAATAGATAATCCATATCTATGGATGACATTCATTATTATATTTATAGTTTGTTGAGTTCTTATGTGATTAATTTTGAGATTACTGTACTATTTAAGTGGAATTCATTAATTCAGTCCATTAATATAGTTTTGTATAATGTTACTTAAATGTGAGAGAAGTGGACCAAAATGTTTGGGGGGTTATGAAGCTTCACCTATGATTTTTTAGTGGGAATATTATTCTGCCTCAATTTGGAGGCAGAATAGTGTTGGAATATTGGGCCTCTATTCATCTCCAAAATATTCAGAATTCAAATGCACATATATACATACATACATATACATACATATACATACATATACATACATATACATACATATACATACATATACATACATATACATACATATACATACATATACATACATATACATACATATACATACATACATACATACATACATATACATACATACATACATATACATACATACACACATACATACACACATACACACATACATACATATATATACATATATATATATATATATATATATATAGTATATATATATATATACTACCTAACCTACCTAACCTAACCTAACCTAACTTTTTCGGCTTATATATATATTCGGTCATATATATATATATATATATATATATATAAGAAAAAAATTAGAGAAAATATATTAATTCATGTGCAGGAGCAATGGCAGTGTAATGTCCAAATGGAAAAACTTACGCCTTGGGGCAGTGGGTATATTCTGGTTGGTAGTTGATGTCTTTGTGGGGAAGACAGGGATTGGTAAGGGGGCGTCTGTGCGAAGTACAGGAGTAACGCCATCTGGAAATGTTAGTCATCCAAATATTTTATTCAGGAAATGTGTAGTAAATAATGTCAAACATAATACTGGACTATCAAATTGAAGGAGAAGGTCTCGATGGAGACCTTAAAAAAGTGCTATCAGCTGAGAACTCTGATAAATTTAAAGAAACTAGATAAGTGCAAATAGGAATCATGAGGTTCATTATTTATCACAATAAATGTGTCAAACACATGTATGGGGTAACAAATCAATAGACTAATAAATGTCAAAGCTAAAATATGATTTGGTTACAAGTATCTCTGGGAGTTAAGCTTGTATGAGGACCTACATATGAAATATACAGTGTGTAGACAAAGACAGGGTTACACACTAAGACATTACTGTTTATCCAAGACTGAAAATTTAACCATTTAGGGAAATCTACACTTGCATATACGAGATGGAAAAAGAAAATTGCTAATGGTAAAGCATATGAAAATGTTGCACTATATCTATATCTTGGTTCTAGTAGATAAAGGAAACAATTAAAGGCTACACTAATGAAAGGATAATACCACATAATGAAAGGCTACACAGCTTATCTTAAAATCATGAACAGTAACCTGCCTATCTCTCTAATATCCAATGTAGAAAATTATGTAAAATATTACCAAAATGACCTGGCTTCAGCGAGTAATAATATATCATCATAACAGTTTACAGTGTAAATGGTGTTCTGATCAAGGTTTATGGCATTGCTAATAATAGGACGAGTATAAACTAGCCTGACAAAGCCTGACATTATTAATTAATGCTATTAGTATGCTTACACAGAGACTGGGATTGAGAGCCACTCTTTGTATAATACAAATTTGTTGGCATTTACCTCTTTAAAATAATTGAGTTAATATTATTGCTTTCAGACAGAAATATGTACCATAGTACTGTATCTAGTCTTATTTACTTTCTGGGAAGATGCTAATAACATCATTTCACTTTTAGTAAACAAAATATTCAGTTTTTTATCCAAAAATCTGTTTTAGAATCATCAGTAAATTAATTTTTTTTACAATTTAAGTTAAAAGGATACAGGAAAATCATCTGATAGGAGTGAAAATGTTAACACTTGATAAAAGTTTGGGATGACAACTTACCAATGCATTCTACACTGACATCGACAGTGTAAGTGGCTGGAGGAGGAATTGTGGCTGTGGGGTCTGTGGCCACAATCGAGACCTCACCAGTTTGGGGCCCCTTGGTACTGGATGGTAGTGTCATCTGCATCACACTGCTCTTCATGTTGATGTCCACTGATATCTGATGGAACAGTTACTATGCACTGAATAATGAATTTGGCACCTAATTGTCATCACATTTTTAAATAAGAGTGTATAGAGGTATGGTCATTTCTGTGGGTATAGAGGTATGGTCATTCCTGTGAGAAAAAAAAATTGAAGGAAAAGGATAGTTTTTACTATGGAACAGGCAAATCAGAAAACAATTTTTATATGCCCTAAGAATTTATAATAGTTTTAAGAAATTACAACCAAAATTTTAGCAAATTAATAAATCCTGATGCATCATCATCATATACTTTACTGTACTGTTCTTATAATACTAAATCTCCACACCTCGTTGTCATGAAGAGTGATGGTAACTTTGTTCTGTATGTCGGCTTGCAGAAGATCATTACTCTTGGAGCCTCCCTCGTCCTTTACATTACAGTCATTTTCATGGTCGGAACAACCCCAGAGCTTCACCATGCTGCCCATCACGGTTACCTGTAAATATTTTTTCTTAGCTACATGAAAGCAAGAATGTCACTGAAGAATATGTAGAATAGACTGATCAGACTTAATTAAGACTATGAATGATGAAATGGCTTTAGAGGTAATATTTGAAAATTGTCTACTATTACTTTAATTAAGATGAACCTAATTAACAGTTTGGAATGTTCGAATATAGAACCTAATTGATATAACAAATTACAAGGTATTTGTTGTCTTTTGCATAATATAAAGCCCAAGGTACAAAGTTGAATCCAAGTTTGGTAGAATTCAATTTTTTTTTTTAACATTCTGTATACCAGGAAAAGTTGAGAGCCACAGAGCTAACAATATCGTAAACCACACATGACAGTTCATCTAATCAAAGCCTTTAAAATACTGAACAAATTGGACAATATTGATCCAAACCACTTTTTTATAAAAAAAAATGACAAACAAGAAGCAATGGTTTTAAGCTTCATGTCCTTATCAAGAGTCGCCCCCCCCCCTCACCCCTTCCAAGAGTCGCCCCCCCCCTCACCCCTTCCAAGAGTGGCCCCCCCTCACCCCTTCCAAGAGTGGCCCCCCCTCACCCCTTCCAAGAGTGGCCCCCCCCCCTCACCCCTTCCAAGAGTGGCCCCCCCCCTCACCCCTTCCAAGAGTGGCCCCCCCCTCACCCCTTCCAAGAGTGCCCCCCCCCCCTTCACCCCTTCCAAGAGTGGCATCCCCCCTCACCCCTTCCAAGAGTGGCCCCCCCCCTCACCCCTTCCAAGAGTGGACCCCCCCCCTCACCCCTTCCAAGAGTGGCCACCCCCCTCACCCCTTCCAAGAGTGGCCCCCCCTCACCCCTTCCAAGAGTGCCCCCCCCTCACCCCTTCCAAGAGTGGCCCCCTCCCTCACCCCTTCCAAGAGTGGCCCCCTCTCACCCCTTCCAAGAGTGGCCCCCTCTCACCCCTTCCAAGAGTGGCCCCCTCTCACCCCTTCCAAGAGTGGCCCCCTCTCACCCCTTCCAAGAGTGGCCCCCTCTCACCCCTTCCAAGAGTGGCCCCCTCTCACCCCTTCCAAGAGTGGCCCCCCCCCTCACCCCTTCCAAGAGTGGCCCCCCCCTCACCCCTTTCAAGAGTGGCCCCCCCCTCACCCCTTCCAAGAGTGGCCCCCCCCTCACCCCTTCCAAGAGTGGCCCCCCCCCTCACCCCTTCCAAGAGTGGCCCCCCCTCACCCCTTCCAAGAGTGGCCCCCCCCTCACCCCTTCCAAGAGTGGCCCCCCCTCACCCCTTCCAAGAGTGGCCCCCCCTCACCCCTTCCAAGAGTGGCCCCCCCTCACCCCTTCCAAGAGTGGCCCCCCCTCACCCCTTCCAAGAGTGGCCCCCCTCACCCCTTCCAAGAGTGGCCCCCCCTCACCCCTTCCAAGAGTGGCCCCCTCTCACCCCTTCCAAGAGTGGCCCCCCCCCTTCCAAGAGTGGCCCCCCCTCACCCCTTCCAAGAGTGGCCCCCCCCCCTCACCCCTTCCAAGAGTGGCCCCCCCCCTCACCCCTTCCAAGAGTGGCCCCCCCCCTCACCCCTTCCAAGAGTGGCCCCCCCTCTCACCCCTTCCAAGAGTGGCCCCCTCTCACCCCTTCCAAGAGTGGCCCCCCCCCTCACCCCTTCCAAGAGTGGCCCCCCTCACCCCTTCCAAGAGTGGCCCCCCCCCCTCACCCCTTCCAAGAGTGGCCCCCCCTCACCCCTTCCAAGAGTGGCCCCCCCCCTCACCCCTTCCAAGAGTGGCCCCCCCCCTCACCCCTTCCAAGAGTGGCCCCCCCCCTCACCCCTTCCAAGAGTGCCCCCCCCCCCTCACCCCTTCCAAGAGTTGTAACACTGTAAAAGTGTTTGGTTTAGTTTAATACATACATAGAGTACATGAGTCACAGACAAGGATCGGAGAGGCGCCAGTTGTCTGCCTGAGATCTCACACCTCAAAGCGTTAATGACCCCAAGTGACCTGAGGTCAGAACATGAGAATTTCACCTTGCTTCCGCTAAGCGTATAATTGGAGCCGGGTAGCCTTCAAACATGCCGACGTTTAAGGAGTGGCTTGGTAGTGCCGGAGGCTATCTACTTGTGGGCGGAGTTAGCTACTAGGTTCCCCAATAAATACTCGGAGAACTATCGAGCATGGAGCATTAACAGACAGAACAGCAGACGAGAGCAGAGAAGACGTCCCTAGCAGGGAGGCTGTCGGCCGGCAGGGGGCGAGACAGTCTCTGTCAAGCTACAGACCCCCCCCCCCCCCTCTCTATTCAACTTAGACTCAGTCCTCGGTGAGTGAACATTAAGGTGACTTGGTCGTGTTTACATATGTTGTGTGATGATCAGGGACAGTCAAGTTGTAGGGTTCTCGAATTCTTGGATGATGACTCTCTTTAACATTTTAATTGGATTGTTTATATTATGATACTTAGTATGTGAAATACATGAACTTATTATTTAAATCGTCTTTGTTCCCTAGAGCTTTGAGTTGAGGTGAGAAAGCCTCGGTGATTACTGGTTTCATGATTTAATGAGTACATGTTTGGAGTTGATACATGATAAAGATGGGACAGATTAATAATGAACTCATGATAACATCCTTTGAGAATTTTGTGATACAGGCAAGTTCCATTCCTTGTCTTGTATGTAATGATCATGAATGGATGGTGGCAGCATTTCGTCTTCTACTATCTACTCTTCTACTTCTACGTTTACTTTCTACTCTTCTCCTTCTACCTATCTACACCTCTCCTTCCCCCCCTCTCTGAACTCTCACTTTCAACTAATGACCCTCCTCGCTCCTCCCACCTCCCTACCTCTCACCCCAGACCCTCACTAATTACTTCACTATTCATTTCTTTCCTTTCGTTTTCTCTTATACGTTTGTGGCAATGATTCAGTATTCTAGAGTTCTCTCTAGAGTTTCGGGTAGCTGATCCAGTTACGGCGCCTTGTGGTCTTAGCACCTAGGTAGTCAAATACCTAGGTTACAAGGTGTTGAACGAGAGAGGTTGCCTTAGGAACTCTGGGAGTGTTCTAGAATAGTTAGCTAACTGGGGACGGGATAACGGACTAGAGAGAGCTGTTTCCCCCGGCCTCGTTAGTTAACTGGGGGGTGGAATAATGGACAAGATAGAGCTATTTCCCCCACCCCCCGTTACAATGGTGGCAGCGATGGTTTAGACTGAGTACATGGTACAGAGGGAACATACTAATAATCATTGTAACGGGGGGTGGGGGAAATAGCTCTATCTTGTCCATTATTCCACCCCCCAGTTAACTAACGAGGCCGGGGGAAACAGCTCTCTCTAGTCCGTTATCCCGTCCCCAGTTAGCTAACTATTCTAGAACACTCCCAGAGTTCCTAAGGCAACCTCTCTCGTTCAACACCTTGTAACCTAGGTATTTGACTACCTAGGTGCTAAGACCACAAGGCGCCGTAACTGGATCAGCTACCCGAAACTCTAGAGAGAACTCTAGAATACTGAATCATTGCCACAAACGTATAAGAGAAAACGAAAGGAAAGAAATGAATAGTGAAGTAATTAGTGAGGGTCTGGGGTGAGAGGTAGGGAGGTGGGAGGAGCGAGGAGGGTCATTAGTTGAAAGTGAGAGTTCAGAGAGGGGGGGAAGGAGAGGTGTAGATAGGTAGAAGGAGAAGAGTAGAAAGTAAACGTAGAAGTAGAAGAGTAGATAGTAGAAGACGAAATGCTGCCACCATCCATTCATGATCATTACATACAAGACAAGGAATGGAACTTGCCTGTATCACAAAATTCTCAAAGGATGTTATCATGAGTTCATTATTAATCTGTCCCATCTTTATCATGTATCAACTCCAAACATGTACTCATTAAATCATGAAACCAGTAATCACCGAGGCTTTCTCACCTCAACTCAAAGCTCTAGGGAACAAAGACGATTTAAATAATAAGTTCATGTATTTCACATACTAAGTATCATAATATAAACAATCCAATTAAAATGTTAAAGAGAGTCATCATCCAAGAATTCGAGAACCCTACAACTTGACTGTCCCTGATCATCACACAACATATGTAAACACGACCAAGTCACCTTAATGTTCACTCACCGAGGACTGAGTCTAAGTTGAATAGAGAGGGGGGGGGGGTCTGTAGCTTGACAGAGACTGTCTCGCCCCCTGCCGGCCGACAGCCTCCCTGCTAGGGACGTCTTCTCTGCTCTCGTCTGCTGTTCTGTCTGTTAATGCTCCATGCTCGATAGTTCTCCGAGTATTTATTGGGGAACCTAGTAGCTAACTCCGCCCACAAGTAGATAGCCTCCGGCACTACCAAGCCACTCCTTAAACGTCGGCATGTTTGAAGGCTACCCGGCTCAAATTATACGCTTAGCGGAAGCAAGGTGAAATTCTCATGATCTGACCTCAGGTCACTTGGGGTCATTAACGCTTTGAGGTGTGAGATCTCAGGCAGACAACTGGCGCCTCTCCGATCCTTGTCTGTGACTCATGTACTCTATGTATGTATTAAACTAAACCAAACACTTTTACAGTGTTACAGAGTGGCCCCCCCTCACCCCTTCCAAGAGTGGCCACCCCCCTTCCAAGAGTGGCCCCCCCCCTCACCCCTTCCAAGAGTGGCCCCCCTCACCCCTTCCAAGAGTGGCCCCCCCCCCCTCACCCCTTCCAAGAGTGGCCCCCCCTCACCCCTTCCAAGAGTGGCCCCCTCTCACCCCTTCCAAGAGTGGCCCCCCCCTCACCCCTTCCAAGAGTGGCCCCCCCTCACCCCTTCCAAGAGTGGCCCCCCCTCACCCCTTCCAAGAGTGGCCCCCCCCCCTTCCAAGAGTGGCCTCCCCTCACCCCTTCCAAGAGTGGCCCCCCCCTCACCCCTTCCAAGAGTGGCCCCCCCCTCACCCCTTCCAAGAGTGGCCCCCCCTCACCCCTTCCAAGAGTGGCCCCCCCCCCTCACCCCTTCCAAGAGTGGCCCTCGGGTAAATTCAGATGTTATAAGTATTTATGTAACAGTACATTTATGTAATGTATAGGTTACTGAACTATCTAACAAGTGTATAGTATGTCAAAATGTCAACAAATACCATATGAATACTGTACCAACAAATAGTGATATAATTCCTATATTCACTTGGGACGGCGACGTTTCGGTCCTCCTGGACCATTCTCCAATCGACTTGAGAATGGTCCAGGACGGACCGAAACGTTTCTTTGTAACTAGCTGACATTGTAACTATAAGGTGTGAATGATAGATTATTACATAAACAATTTCATCTAAGATGAGGTCTGATAAAGTCCTTTTGTACCCTCTGTAATGCTTTTGCGCTACCGCTCACAGGATGAGTATGGGGTGCACAATAAACCAGCCGGCTTCGGCGGCAACAATCAAAAATCAAATCGTCGTCCCTTCACCTTCTAGTGTATGGTCTGGTCAAACTACTTCAGCCACATTGTGACTCATCGCCTGCTTATTACGCACCCAATGCCCATTCATTGGCCGCAGTGGAAAAGGTCTCAGAGGCACATAATGGATTCAGAGTTACCTTGTAAAGCTCGTCCGCCACCTTGATCCTCATGTACATCACGGGCTCACTGGGGGTGATGATGAAGACGAGTCTCTCCTTCAAGGGCACATACTGCACGTCATGACTCGAGTCAACTTGCCCAATATGACAGATACCAGTTTCTGGAAAAGATATATTTTGCTTATATGTATACTATATTAAAATTGCAATACACAATATCGTGTATTGGATTCGAACTTGGGCATATGAACAAATCTATAACCATGGCCAAGAATTATGAAATTATATGTGGTTAATTATAAAATATTATCAGTAAACATTAAAGTTAATGTTATGGCATTGCTATAGTGTATGTGTATGGCGGCAGGACAAACATTCTTGGGCAACGTTTTCCTTTCACCTCCTTAGATTCATGTTAATCTAGCAGTAAATAGGTACAAGATAGTTAGGCAGTTGTGGCATCCTGGGTAAGTCTATTATTGGCCTGGGGGCGCGGGGGGGTGGAACCTTGATAAGCATAACAATTTTGGTATTTTTATTTATAGGTTTCTTCTTCCCGACTTGGGTTGGGACAATGGATACCCCCAATCACTAATTTTAAAATAAGTTATTGTCTGCGTTAAGAATAGGGGTTTCAGTTTCCTTCACTGTATCTATGACAAATAATCAACCAATCCTCCAATTAAGCGGTGTGTGTCATCTGTTCTCACGATTTGACAATTAAGCGTCAACTTCGAACTGGCTTTGTTCAGCCAGGAGCGTACGAATCTAGACAACCAAGCTAACCTATCAAGGTAGATGCCCATTAGTTCGAGGAAGCGTTAGTATTACAATGCATTCACCGTAATTTCACTAAAACCCAGAATTTTTACACTGGTCGTTAACGTCGAAATAACAGCGTAGCAAGTGTGAAGACTGATAGAATGGCCGACTGTCGAGACGTTCTCACAAACCTTAGTTCTGTATCTTTGACTAAGAAAATTAAGGTGATGATTAAACTGTATAAATCTCTTGTGCATTTGGATTACTGTATCCCAGCATGGAGCCCCCCCCCCCCATCTTCAGAAAGACATAGCTGGTCTGGAGTGTGTGCAGCACCGGGCAACAAAAATCATTCCAGAGCCAAGTCATCTCTCGTATCAGCAATGGTTGAGGGCCACAGGATTAACACCACTGTTAACCAGGCATGACAGGGCAGCTCTCATTGAAACTTAAAATACTGAATAATTTGGTGGATGTTGATCCTTAAAAATTCTCCAAAATGTAGCGTATAATTACGTGTACGTATTTGGTTGATTAGACACACAGAGTTTAGTGTTTTTTTATATTTAGTATAGTCTTTGTTACAGCAGTCTTGGTTGGCAGTGCAGGGACGTGTCGTAGAAGTTGAGAAGCCTGGAGCAGGGCAGAGCGCCGATTGAGGCCGGGGGTAGAGAGCTCTGATGAGGGGTGAGAGTCAGAGTCAACGAAGCTTCCTGTCCTGATTAATGAAGATTGATGAAGATTAAGCCACCCAAAAGGTGGCACGGGCACGAATAGCCCGTAAGTGGTGGCCCTTTTGAGTCATTACCAGTATCAACAGCTGATACTGGAGATCTGTGGCGGTGCGACTGCACCCTGCGTGTCTCCCGTTTCCTGTCCTCGTCGAGGCCACTATATATAGTGGTAGTGACCCCTCAAGTAAATCGGGTAAAATTAAAGTAGAGCCAAGAAATATAAAAAATGTGAACCTAACTTCACCTATCATAGGTATAAAAGTGCATATATGCACTACGTTAGGTTTAAGATATGCTTGGTTAGGCTTAGGATAAGCTTGGTCCATTTTTTATTCTATTTCTGATTTTTGCGAGAAATATTTCAGTAGAGGAAAATGTGAACCGTTTTAGGAAGTCGGCGGCTTGTCAACGTGTTCTCAATTTGTCGTGATGATTTTATTCAGTTGGATTTTGAATTGACATTAATAGCTTCGTCGTTAAGTGGGTTACATGCAAGGTACCCCTCTAGCTGGCTTCTCTGATCACGTCCGCAATGTGTTCCTTCGTATTGTGATAGTTGTCCCATAACTCTCCTTGCCACTTCGGGGGGGGGGGGGGATAAGGTGTTTATGTAGCTTCAGGGCACCAATCCCCCCCCAGCCACAGGGCATGGCGAAAAGGCACCCCTTACGCCTCTAAGAACGTCACGCTTCTGAAACTGGTTAAACCATTACCATATCTACTACACCCCCTACTGTATTTAAGACCCCCTCTACCATAACTACGACGCCCTCTATCAACTTTCATCATGCCTCCTGCACATTCTCAAGGAATTGTATACTTACGTTGTTGGCTTGTTTTAACGTTTTTTCCTTTGACCTGGGGAAGAGCTAGGGCACCCTGAAGGACCATCAGGAGGACGAGGCCCTTCACTAGGCTTCCTGAAGGATGATAGAGTTGCATGGTGGTGCTAGAGATGAAGGTCTAGACAGTAGCACTAGTGATGGTAGTGCTGCCGGTAGTGGGCGCACTGGTCAGTAATGGGAATCTAGCTTCGCGTTTTCGTTCCTGGAAAAATAAAGAAAACAATTTGAAATAAGAGATTCCGATTTTTTCTGATTTACCTGAGGGGCCACAATCAAAGATCCAGAGTTCAATTCCCAGGCAGGACAGAAATGGTTGCGCAGTTTTTTTTAATCTAGTACATCTGTTCACCTGGTAGTAAATGGGTACCCGGGTGTTGGGTAACTTATGGGGTTGCATCGCAGGGAGGGTCAGTAGTTTGACCTTGGGGGGGAACTTGATACAAGGCTGATAATGAACACAGACTACCTGTCCCTGACAAAACGAATTAAATTAGTATATGTAGTGGCCTCGACGGGCACAAGCCTGCGGCTTGTCAAAGATCCTCCATTGTTCTTGGGGAACAATGGGGGGTTCTTTGTTCATTCAATAATCCACTCACACACACACACACACGCGCAGTCGATTGACAGTTGAGAGGCGGGAATAAAGAGCTAAAGTTCAACCCCGCAAACACAACTAGGCGAGCACACACGCACACAAAAGTTGTTATCCCGCTTTTATATATTCTGAAGTTAGTCCTAGACCAAGATTACAATATAATTGCGGGTTGGTGCATTATTGCAGGTGAAAAGACTGCAATATTAAACTAGACTCAACCATACCCCCATCACGCCTCCTCCGCGCCACGTAAATTAAAAACAAGAACAATCAACCTGGAAGCGGATCTATACAGATCCGCTTCCATGTTGATTGTATCGACGCAGCAACACCGCCGCTAACGGCGGACGTGACGCATCTCTGAATGTCTCGGGGAAGCTGACTGGGCGTCCGCCGAGCCTTCAGTGCTCACACTAATTGATGATTCATTTGGTAGCTTTTTTTTGCTGGGATATTCCTGCGCGGGCCCCAAGCTCTTGGCTGGCCTACTCAGTAGCTGACTAGATGTTACTACTGCTCGGCTTAGACTCGGTTACAAGTATCTCTGGGAATTCTCATTATCTGCTGATGTAGACCTGACCAAATGTAAACTGTGTCAACAAAGTTATTCGCACACCCTCCGTCACTATGTGATGGAGTGCGAAAAGATACGTGAATTCAGAGACAATTCTATAACAAATATTTCAAAGATGTGTAAATATTTCATTCAAAATAATCTGCTACCAGAAATCTTAGCCAAATATTCCCAGTTTGCTAACTGTAGGTAGTAACTAAGTGATTGTAACCTATCCACCGCTGCCCACTGGATGGGGGGCGATGTGCAGGACAAACATATTAATTGTGACACTAGCTCTCCACATATGTCAGTTGCTTAATTTAGAACCTGTACTTTAGGTCGATCTCGAACCCATTGATAATGTGACGATGTGCACTGAATTTTGTGGCTAGCTCATCAAGACTAACTTTCTTAGCTGAATGAATTGTGGGGTTCAGTCCCTGAGCCCATTATGTGCCTCTAACCCTTTCCACTATCGCCCACAAGATGGGTATGGGGTGCATAATAAATGAACTAAACTAGCACTTGGGAAGGGGAGGAGGAGGACCGCACATCTGTGCCAGGTGAGTACGACGGGTTCTCCATAGACAGTACTGCTTGGAACGTTTTGTTCAGAGTAGCTGAATCTAAAACGACAACAACAACGAAGAGGAAGGAGGTAATTTGGAGGGGAAATCGAAGGAAGGAGGGAGGGAGGAGGATAAAGGTAGGGTGTGGAGAGAGCGAGAGAGCAACTGTAATGCCTCAATGGCTTATAACCGGTGTGATTATATAACGGTGATTACGGGGAAGCAAGGTCAAGCTCTGTATGCCCCGAAGCAGCTCATCAAAATGTGCTTGATGGATCCCAGTTTAACGTAAACAGATTCAAATACCTTTGTCTGCAATTAGTACTGTATTGCCATGATATAACGAAACTCGGTCGTCAAATTCTAAGAGGTTTAGAGTTCTGAAGACGGTGGCAGCTAGGCATCAGTCAACCTATGATGTGAATATCAGAATTGCTTTAGTGATTTACCTCTCACATATCTGATGTCTATTGGACTAAGCTGCGACTCTGATCGGGATTGAGTCTGCTTTGAGGGCTCAACAAAACATAGCAAATTAAGCTATGATCATCATTCGTGGATGTCCTCGTTGGCAAAGTTTTGGTGACGGCGTAGAGAAACTGAGCAGGCTTAGAAGTTAATGACATTTCGGTAGTAAAAATTTCATAAAATCTAAATTTGATAAGTCTTGACAAACGACAGACCATCTTAATACCCAAAGCGTCATTAATCGCGTTACTGAAGTTGATACTTTGTGGCTTTACAATTCTTAGACAAACCTATTCCACGTCATGTACAAAACCTTTACAGGCCTTTAATGAAGAGCAACATCCTCAACAACGGATTAATAAAACTACAACTGAACTCAAAATATATATATCGGGTTCACCATCTTCATCAAGAGAGCACAACAATGGAACTTACTTACACGGTGAAAGATTACCTCTTTCCAAATTATATTCCCTCCTTTTCCTCCCAAGAAACAAATTAAGGGTCAGTCAGTACAACACCATAAACCAGACTGACACTCTACCCACAGAGCACTGCCTCTCTCCCACACCACGTGCACTGATGACTCACTTCATCACCCCAATGGTGCTGCCGGAAGTTCAGTTATCGTGTCAGCGAGTGATAGCTAATATTTTGAATGAGAGTCAAAAACACTCAAATGGGCATTTATCTCCAAAATGTTCACCGTAAATGTAACCGATTCCTTATCCTAACTTACTTTCAACTTCCTAAGACACAATTGAGACACGCATGTGTCTTAAACTAAGAATATGTATAGCAAAACTAGTTATGATGGTATCACATTATTTCATATGGATTAAATTTCCCGTTCATCTCTGAATACATAATATAACTGATAAGTTTGCCAAAGCCTAATTTTTTGGGGAGTTAATATAACCATTAATTGCATATTAGCAGTTTAAAAAATATATAAAAACAAAAAATGTACACCTCTGAAATCATCGAATAAAATCAGCAGAATGCTAGATGAAACTATAATGCTTGACTTTGGCTCTTATTACATCTGGGAGTTTGTTGATGTAATTATAACTAAACAAACATTCAGCAAAACTATTCGTACACGCTACTTCACTATGCTGGTAGACTAGACTCGCACCTCTTGTTTTCTCCTAATTCCATGTATGAGTTTCCATCCGGAGATATGTGGATAATATACGAACTTGGAGCAAGTTCATATAAAATAAACACTATGTAATCATTCATACAGAATAGGTCAGCACCACATTGCTGTGTTTACCTAAGCTTGTCAAGACACTGTAATGAATGCTTAAAACTCTAAAAAAAACATTGACAACTATCACTAAGGCAGACGATGAGTCACAATAACGTTGCTGAAGATATGATGACCAAACCACACATTATGGTTTGGTCATCATGGACCATTATGGACCATTATCAAGTCAATTGCACAATCGACTTGATAATGGTCCAGGACGGACCAAAACGTCTTCGTTTCCTCATCTTCTGGTGTGTGGTTTGGTCAACAACTATCACTAATCTTCAAGAATAATGGTGCAACTTAGTCTCCACTCCTTGGTGCCTTTTTATAATTACTTAATGTGCTCAGGAACTTTCAAGATATCCAGTTAAATATCATATATTACAAAAATTCGTAATAAAGTATCTAAAGTTTGCTTGCTGTAGATAGTTTACGCACCTCTTGAACTATGTGACTTACCTCACCGTCTCCCACTGGATGGTGCGGCAGCCATGAAAGTTGAACGTAACATTTTGTAGCAACAATATCAATAATATACTTGCTCCAAAACTCTCATTAACGTATGTGCAGATAATGAGATGAGTTTGTTAATTCTACTGAGTCTACTAATGGCAAATTCATTCCTCTACACTATTTACAGTTAACACTACTTCCTATCCTATTAGTGGATGGTAGGACGAGGTGTGATCCGATTATATAAGCACTCGATAAGCGAATAATCGACCATACAGCCCCGCTCCTGTGCCAGGTAAATCCACTACGGGCTCACCATAGCCTGTGCTACTTGCAGTTTTTTTGTTCCAAGTAGCTGAATCTAAAACAACAAGTAAATAATCATCCACTAATATTACGGGCTATTCATGCCCGTGCTACCTCTTGGGTGGCTTAATCTTCTTCAATTGAATAATCAAGACTCACTGCCGGCGCCATTCTAGCAGCCCATATACGGTTTTGTTCTCTGGAAAACTTAAAATTATTAGCACCCATCAGCAAAATTCATCGTGGTTTTTGTGAGGAAGAGCACAGCAATACTCCAAGATCCAGATAATATCTTGTTTGGAAGGTAACAATGCCGATTTCGTCTACAACTGATGGACAAACAACGTTGTTGATTAGATGCTGTCTAGCTGACTGGTATTCTGTGCAACCCAGTACGCTGGTGACCCAAACAGCCACCATCACGCTGCCCCGGACAGAGTGATGCGGAGTGTGCAACCTGAGGCATCCAACCAAAGACTGTATAGCCAAGCACAATGCAAACCAAACCACAACAGCCAAATGTCCAAATTGTGGAGGCAAACTTCATGCCTGGAGCACAACCTGTTCTGCACGGAAAGAAAAGGTGCACTCAGCTCAGGCCAGGATAAACACACAGACCAGTACTACATACACCAACACCAACGTCTGGAACACTCGTGCACAGCCACAACAAACACCCACAGAACACAATTTCCAGAATCTATCAACTCCAAATCAGGAAATACACAAAAAATACTGCAGAAATACAACCAAAGCAAAAAAGCAATTACTTTCGTAATCAACTCAACAAATTTACAGTTTTACCGAGGTCCAGCTGAAAAACATTGTGAAGATCATGGCAAAGACCATTATCAATTGCCTACAGATGACGCAGAACGCCTCACAACAACAACAACAGACTCAAGAAATCCCTTGTGTACCACTCACATTCAAGGGGGTTCCCTTGATCTTACATTAATCTCAAAACACTCTAGCATCAGACGAAGTGTGAGGTATACCCGGTGATCACCAGTGACCACTATGCTATTGTCACAACACTAAACAGAACGACCGCCTACACCACCTGCACAACCTAGGAGGAATTTGAAAGAGGCCAGGTCCTGCTGGAAAACAAGGGATATTGGACGTCATCAATGGATCTTGGCAGCAAGGCAAACTACCGACCTCTTGGAAGCAAACAGACATCATTCCGATTCCAAAGCCGAAAGAACCTGGTAATTACAGACCCATTTCATTAACATCATGCTATCATGATGTTATCAAACATGCAGATTCGAGAACTGCAATTGAAATCTTGCCACAAGAACACATACATGACAACATCCATCAGATCACAAATGTCATATCATTACTACAATCACTCAAACGTCAAGGCGGTCGGGTACTTATCAACTGGGTGCCAATTCATGTGGTAATAATAGGAAATGACATTGCAGACGAAGCTGTAAAACTAAGAAGAAATGCAGACATGTGCATACCACAGAGTCTATCACAGATTAAGAAAGTCATTAGAAATAGAGTAGTGCAGAAGATGTATAGTGACCACAACACCAGGCACCATAAGGATCCAGTGGTGGTGGATCTGTTGTTACAAGAATTCAACTAACTACAAACCACTTATTTTGATGAAAGGGAGCAGTAGAACAGATATACACTTACATCGCATCAGGCTTGGATACCCATGTTCATTGGAAATAGGCTTACAGGTTCCATAAGATGAGAGGAAATGTCTAAACTGTGGAGAAATGCCCGACAGACCACAGGAACATTATTTAACACAGTGCAGAGTTACAAACCCAATAAGATTTCAACTGAGATTCAACAAAGCAGAAGAAGTGTTTAAACACATGGGACAATCTTACTGAAGCGAACATACGAGTCATAAATACTTATACTCCACCTAAATAAAAAAGAAAAGACTCTTGAGAGATACCGCACATCTTCAACATTCACCAACAACAATGTAGCATTCGGCGTGTCCAGTTCCTACCCTCACAAAACGTTTCAGCTCTAGTGCTCTCGTCCCGCATCCGAGCTCTCTACCCCCCGGCCTTACTCAGCTCTCTGCCCTGCTCCAGGCTGTCTTAACTTCTACGACACGTCACTACACTGCCAACCAAGATTGCTGTAACCAAGACTATACTAAATAAATATAAAAAACACTAAACTCTGTATCTAATCAACCAAATACTTATACATAATCATTCGTTACACTTTCTACCACCGCACCAGCCAGTTCTCATACTCAGGCTACGCTCTTTCATGCATGAACTGTCCCATGCACATTGGGTATAGTATCCATAGCAGTCGTCGGGAGGATAAATCCTTCATGCAAACTGCACGTACCAACAAGAAGATAGTATCCATAATAAAATAAAATGCTCACAAAGCATAGTTAATATTGTTCATATATTGAAAATATACGAAACAACCATGTAGGCTTTACCTAATGAAGGGCCTATGTACAAAATCTTACGAAACGTGACTTAATTATCCTAAACTGAACTAACAATATGTTCTTCCGGTGCAGTTAATAGCGGTATACAGCCAAGAGTATTTTAGAGGCCGGCTGCCTGAGGCCGACCAGCCCCACGACGCGTCGGTGAGAGGCCCGACCAGCCCCACGACGCGTCGGCGAGAGGCCGGACCAGCCCCACGATGCGTCGGCGAGAGGCCGGACCAGCCCCCACGACCCGTCGGCGAGAGGCTCGACCAGGCCCATGAGTGCCAAGTGCACAGGGAGTGCTGCAAGAGTAAGCAAACATCGACCAGGTCCACTGAGCACACCAGCTTCATTGTGGGCTAATGTTTCCTAAGTCTAATAATAAGAAAAATAAACACTACGAACATACGTTTTCTCCAACAATGGAAAGTAAACATTTCATCATTCATCCATGAATGTGAGTCAACATTCGTCCAGAAGGGGCGCCAACATTCACCCATGAGAAGCAAGGTAATTATCGGGAATTGCATGAAGGGCCGCTAAGACAAGCACAGCAGCTCTGTAAAGGTAAAGCATTCAGGGAGTCTTAGGTCGTTCCTCAGACGACCAGCAGACCCCATGAAGCAGCAAATAGCATCACTGACCCCACTGAGATTCGTTACGAGACCGGAGATGTGTGGGAATACCAAGTCTCTGTTGTCTTAACTTGTCCAGTTGGAGATAAGCCCCAGGGAGCCAAAATTAATCCAGCACTTACACAACCACTTACGAAACCTGAACATCTTCCAGTAATCATTGCAGCTTTGTTTACATGTACTAAACAGTTTACAAACATCGAAACTTCACAACCCATGGTTATTATTGATTAAACAAACTTGCCAGACCTCAGATCTCAAACTGTTTAATATATGCAAATACAGCTGCAATGAATGAGAACAGATGTACAGGTTTCTTAGGTGGATGTGTAAATGCTTGGTGAATTTTCACGCAGAGACATATGTAGTCCATAATGTATTGCTGTAAGGTTACCGAGGCGTTGTGTGCTTTTGTGAGGGATTAATGTAGAGTCAGTGTAAGTGAGTGGTGTTGGTGGTGGGGGTCAGTGTAGGCGAGTGGTGTTGGTGGGGGGGGGGGGGGTCAGTGTAGGTGAGTGGTGTTGGGAGTCAGTTTAAGACGTGAACTGTGCTCACTAGTCTAATTTAAGTGTTTCCAATACGCATTATCTCGGCTCTGACGACCCATCTCCCTGCTCCTTGACAAAACAAGTGTATAACATCCACGCTGATAACTGGCCATCCACCTGGGGCTTTCCAACATAGCACCTGTTTCTCGACAGCCTCAACATATACCTCCTTCCACACACTTGTTGAACACACACTTGCCACATACAAGTACAAGAAGCAGGGGAACAAGTAACAAATCGACAATACGGCGCTCTCTCTATCTAGCTCTCACTTGTTCACACACATGCGTATTCTACACTGGTAAAAGTTAGAATATCAATCTAAAACCCAAGTAAGGAGGCAATTAGGGCGCTTTACACTGCCCATGTGAGACTAGTCTTAGAGTATGCCGCCCGATCATGGAGCCCCCCCACCTGAAGAAACACATAAGGAAACTGGAATAGGTTCAAAAGTTTGCGACGAGGTTCTTCCAGAGTTAAGAAGAATGGGGTTTGAAGAACGCCTGAAGCAACTGAACCTGACGGCACTAGAAAAAAAAGAGAGGGGGGGGGAATATGATGGAAACATTAAATACTCAGGGGTGGGGGAATTAATAGAGTGGAAATAGGCGAAATGTGTACGCTGAATATTAACAGAATAAGGGAACATGGGTGGAAGCTGGAAACTCAGATTAGTCACAGATGTTAGGAAATTTTCTTTAGTGCGAGTAGTGGAAAAAATTAATAAACCTAAGGATTCTTAGGATTATTAAGAACTTAATCCTAAGAACTTATGGATTATGGAAACCGACGATTCACGGGTATGTAAGGAAACAAATCTTCAGTGTGTGAGGGCAGTAAACAAATGGAACGGCCTTGAATGGGAAATATCAGAGGATAATCCACCCACATTTTATAGCATATTGTATAGTATATCAAGCAACAGGAGTCTTGCAAACTCTGTTAGCTAAAAACTGTGAAGTAAGAAAACTGAAAAATATACGAATTGCTTCTTAGAACCTAAACGGGGGAATCATTCCGGAGGAAGATGTTGATAAATGATCAAGTGAATGATACGGAAATGTTCAAAGAACTCTATTAAAGCTTTCAGTAAATGTTCAAGCTGGAACCAAATCTGTCACATCTACAATTTCGAAGGAAATACAGAAGAACGACTGACCGAAATTTAGAATGACACCGCACGCAGGAACCAACTTCAGGAGCTGGATGTGTGCTATTTACAGAGAGACAGAGACAGAAAGGGTGCAGACAGACAGTCAAAAACAAAGAAAAAAGAAAATGAGAGAATGAGCAAAGATCACCACAAGATCAACGAAGCAACTTAATATTTTGCCAGCTGCTATATACAACATCTATGTCACGAGCTGTTTCTAGTGATTCCCCTCTTCAGCCAGACCCATAAGCTTATTCATTAACAAACTCGTTTACAACATTTGCTACAAAGTAGCATCAACTCTTATAACACACACTGTCAGATCCACTTATCACAGGTCACCTCCCTAAACCCAAAACCTCCTAACAATTCGAACTCGTGAAAATACCAATGTCTAAAAAAATACAATATTCTTATTAAACAAAAATCAGTATCACACTACCTCATGTAAGCTGCTGTAACGTTGAACTACGTGAAGGACGACCACAGGAGGAGCGTGTCTACACCAGACGACCAGAGAAGACTGGGAGGGCCAGCTGGAGGCGCGAGGTATAAACACAGGCGGTTTCCGGTATTCCCATCACGTCACACGGAGGCCACGGCTAAACGGTGACGTCAACTCGAGTCTTGAGTCCAACTTAATCTCTTCACACGCCGCTCATCCCGTGACTATAACCTGTAATAGTATTCCACCGCGTTAAACAATCATTTGCATGTGTTAAAAACATATTGTTAAATCTAGTCTCACCAAAGAGGACAAATACCGTCCACAGCCTCATCAACAGTGACGTCACCTTCATGACGTCATGTGCGATGGCTACTATAGTGTGGGTATCCGTCAGGTTTTTCCCATTTCCGGATTACCTTTACCAAGAACATAATTGAGGCTACAGGTGGGTAATGTGACTGTGCCAGTTGGGCCACACGCTAAAGGTAAACTAAGCACTGTAATCAATAAATATTAGATATGTATTAAAAAATGAAATGAATGATTCAAATCCACACATAACTAGCCAAAATCAAATAAAAACAGCGCTAACAAGTAGGCCAAACACGAATCATAATCTTATTCACGCACAGACCTCGGTAAAATTTAATGATATATCCCAATACAATTACTATTCACATCATAGTATTATACCTGAAATTACCTGATAGCCACCATCTCTAACTGCCTCGACAAGGACAGCATAGAAACCGGTCCAAAAGCCGGTTTCCTGTCCTTGTCGAGGCAATTAGAGATGGTGGCTATCAGGTAAATTCAGGTATAATCTGGCGAGGCATCTGAGAGGATGTAGAGGAGTAATGACTCAGAGGCGGGAAACAAGGAGCAGTGTTGGGCTAAGGTCCAGGAGCAGAGTTGGAAGGAAGGGGACTGCTGAAAGGGGAAAGTAGACGGAATGATGAAAAAGAGGGAAGGAAAGACAGGACATTTGAAGGAGAGGAATGTCTAGAGAAATGTTGAACGAAGGAGAGATGGAAGCGAGAGATAAGGAGACATAAGGAAGAAAGGACAAAACGATGGATACAAAAGGGAGACGAATATAAAAGGTGAGATAATTATGAAGAGAAGGCATCAAAACACTAACTCTTTGAAGAAATACGAGAACAAGAAGTTGGGATACAAGGACGGGCTGAAGGGGGAACAACCCTTCATTAAAAAACAAGGTAATTATCAGGTAAAACCGCCAATTCATTACGACTACACAGTAATAGGAAAGAAAGAGAATAGGGATTTGGTATAGGAGGGAGGTTCGGAATGGTGCCCAACAACTTAATTAGACGGTCGCGGATTGAACGCCGATCTGAGAGAAGCGAGACCGTCGCTCTACCGTCCAGTCAAAGTAAAAAGAGTACGAGAGAAACTAGCAGTTATAGAAGAGAAAAATCAACACGAAACAGGATTAGGGACGACTAACAAGTAGGAATGTAGAGAAGATCAGCTGGAGAAGCGAAGTAGAAAGTGAACAGATGCAGAGAGGAGGAGAGAGGTGATGGGGGGGGGGAGGGAGGTGATGGGGGAGGGAGAGAGATGATGGGGGGAGGGGGGGGGGGGAGGGGGGGAGGTAATGGGGGGAGGGGGGGAGGGAGGTAATGGGGGGAGGGGGGGAGCAAGGAGAGAGTTGGGACTGAGACAGGAAGGGTTCGGAGAACTGTTTTTTGTTGTTCTATACCTTAACAGTACAGTTAAGAGGTGATATCACCACCGGAAACGAGCGTGACCTTCTAACCTGAACAAATTTACATGAATGGAATGCACAGGCATGCGGTGAAATGCGCGGCCGTGTGGATAAATGCGCGGCCGTGTGGATAAATGCGCAGGCGTATGGAGAAGCCCACATAATGCATCTCAGGTGAAGAGGCATGTACTGGGCGGGAGATGAGAGGCTAGAGTACACAGATGGTATGGCCGTGAAAAGGAATGTATGGACGTACATGAGCATGATACACCTGGCTTCGTTCCCGACTCCTCATCAGGGATCCAGGGTTCTATTCCTGGGTGAGACAAATGAATGATCACGATTCCTTTTACCCAATACACCTGTTCACCTAGTAGTAAACAGGTACCCGAGAGTTAGGCAACTGTTTTGGGGGTTGAAGGTCAGCATAGTACGACCTTGGGGGGCCTCGATACAAGCCTGCAATATATACACAAGCTACCTGTCCCCGACAAACCGAATTACAATTATGTGAACATTTAGAGGCGTATATATAGTCATGTAGAGACATGTATACAAACACATACGCAAGCATGTGGAAAGTATGTTAGAGTCTAAAGGGCATGGAGGGTCATACACTAATGTATTTGGAATTTGAGACAGTTATATATGAAGGAGAAGGATAATGAAAATTAGAACCAAGAATATAGATAAAGTCGAGATGGAGAAGAGGGAGAAAGTGAGAGATTAAGAAGAGAAGATGGTTAAATAATCATCAAAATGAGAAACGAAGTCAGTGAATAACGGAAGGAATAAAAAAATGCGGGGAAAGAAAAATGAAAGAGGTGGAGGAGAGAAAAGATGGATATAGGGAAACATAACACAAAAGAGTACTGAGAAAGAAACAAGGATAATGAGAAACTATAACAACTGAAATGAAACTAAATTCCCGTGTGATTGATTTAACAAGTGGAGAGATGGAGCAACTCACCCGTGGCATCCATCAAGGTGGAAGATTGAATAAACGTGTTGAAATTTGCAAGTCAAAACACGCGTCAGGTTTGAGAGCACAAAAGGGCAGGTATAGCTTCATACTTCAACACCTGACGACGTTGTTGCTGCCTCCGGTATGACTGTTGCTTGTAGCTTGCTGCTAGTTCCTCATACAACGGATGTGCATTGAACCCAACATTGCGCATTGTGTCCCAACGCGCAGTTGAAGCAGAGCGCACTGGTTCGGTCTTGGAACTCGTTGAGCGCTACCTCTCGAGTGAGTGAGTGAGTGAGTGAGTAGGGTGGTGAAGGTCGCCACCTTTCCTTACCACTGGTGTTCGCTAATGTTCCTGCTATGCCAATATTTACCCAGTTCGCCAAGCGGCTGGCTTTTGTTCTGCCGCTTCTCCGGTACATTTTTGGTTGATTTCGAGGGTTTTTCCACGGTTGATGTGTGAGTAACTTAAGATCAACACTGTGGCCGAGTGTTGACTTCACTATATGGCGCCTCTGACCCGTCCTCGGGGCACAGAAGGAAACTTAATTATCATGAGAAAGCACAGAGTCACTATGACTAAAGTGAAGATGTATATATCCTGGTTACTATTGTAAGGGAATGGCACCCGTCTGCATCAGAAAAAATAAAACTGCCATCACTATCATATGGCTCCTGTAGCATAGTGGTTTACGTGTTCGACTCACAATAGAGACTTCCAGGTTCTTCCACAGCCACAGGCTTCCTGCCACAGATAATTATCAATTGAATTAGGTAATCATGAAGAGAGAGCTAAGTCAGTATGACTATATATCACTTTGAAGCTCAACCATCTGGACCGTCGGGGATCGAGCCCCGAACCTTCAGGATGTGAGGTTGTCGTTCCTTCCAGCCAGCCAGGCAGACAGGCAACCTTCCAGCCAGCCAGGAAGGCAGCCTTCATTAGACCTACGCTCTACCGACCAGTCGAATAATTTTATCTTAGGCTTCAAAGCTTTCCTTTCAATGTTGTTCAGTTTTCCTAGCGGTGGCGAGGACGCCTCGCATGTAGTTCTTTCTGCCCCAACAGTCTACTGCGTCCCATGGGAGGGAGCCCAAGTGGCACCATGGGAGGGAGCCCAAGTGGCACCATGGGAGGGAGCCCAGGTGGCACCATGGGAGGGAGCCCAGGTGGCACCATGGGAGCGAGCCCAAGTGGGACTCCCTTAGTGCATCACTTGTTTTATATCTACGTTTTGTTGTTTCTTGGTTGATCATCTGCGATAAAACATCTATATTTTAAATTTTGCCCCGAGGGGCGAGTTTATTGGGCAGCGCCACTCATCTTATAAGTGGACAGTAAAGCATCTATATTATCTTGCTTTTACATCGTTTTCTTTGTGGGTTTTCTGAACGATTACACAAATCTATATTTTTCTGTATTTTCATTATCTTTCTTAATGTTATTGTCGCTTTACTACTGTTAACATCACGTTATTTTGGTTTCCTTGTGTATATATGAAAAATCACTGGAGCAGGACAGGGATCGAATAGCGTATTGCTACAATGATCTTCCGATCCGTCTATAATAATTTTTAATAATTTAATAATATTTTTTTTAATAAAGAAGGGAGTACCACCTCTGGCTGGAAGAAGGGGACCCTTAGCCTCGGTGGAAACCACACGTAACGCATTAGAGGGAATGTTTAGATCCCCTCCAATACAGTTTGTGTAATAATTGTTAATAATGTAATATTTTGTAATAATTTAATAATTCAATTTATATTTTCGTCCTCTTCGTCATCAATTAATCATCTTCGTTTGCCTATTCTCAGTCCATTCGCACACCAAATTTGGCTAAAGTCGTCTTTTTTTCCAAAGTTTCACAACCATTTGCATCCCCATATTCGACGTCTCTTTTTTAGCCAAGTCCCTCCTCTTCCCTCGGGGGTCTTCGCTTTTCCCGTTTTCATTGCCTTAGGGACTTTCACACGAGGACCCAAGTAAACTCTTTGGCTCTTTCTTTCTGAAATATTTTAAGTTCTTTAATCAGCTTTGAAAAGAACTTATATCAAAAGACATATATATATGCGGTATAAATGATTACATTTGTATAGAGAGCAACGCTAATATCCGAAGACAAAGTAATTTAGCAAGGGCAAAATGTAATAATTAAATGAATTTGCGGTATTATATAGTCTATTGCTGTCAGCCATAGGCGTCAGCTGCGCCTACTAACCTTCAGAGCCTTGAGATCATACAAAATAATACCATGTGACTTGTATGTGGCGCAGTGCGTTCTACCGCGGTACGCAGTGCATACACTTATCCTCAGCCTTCAAGGGAAAACGGGCCTCATAAGCTTAGTAACTATGATTGATTTCTTTATTATGCACCCCATACTCATCCCGTGGACAGTGGTGTAAAGGGTTACAGGGGCACATAATCGGTTCAGGAACTGAACCCCCCTAGTTCGTTTAGTTAAGCAAATAACAATCTTTTGACACCAGACGAGACAATGTGTGCTAGCTGTCTGTTACTTTGTACCATTGCTCAGGCTACATACAGGCCACATACCCAAATTAGGCCACATACAGATAAACTAATTCAACAGTTAACCTACATAACCCCCACTTCCTCCACCAATTATTCAGAATATTTCCTCACACGGATTACAAATAACCTCAATAAAGAGCTCACTTTACTCCTAAACTGTGAAACCCAACTTACTGTCCCTCTTATTCCATTTTGGCCTTTTATAACTCCTAAAACTTCAACACATCTGGACGACACCATTCCAAAGTTTGCACCAAAGTCAGCCATACCACCCGTCTTTGCTTCCACGATGGAAAGTCGCTACCTAAATACCACAGCGATTTACACAGATGAATCTCGCATCCTCCTGAACAACGCACCCTCGGGCACTAGCGCTGTATGGATCCCACAATGCCATCTCAAGCAGGGATGGCGGTAACCAAACCAACTGTTTTCACAGCTGAATTATACGACCTATAATCAAGCTTCTTCAACGTCACAACATTACCAGTTGGGATATATACAACCTGTAGTGCAGACGATGAGTCACAATAACGTGGCTGAAGTATGTTGACCACACCACACACTAGAAGGTGAAGGGACGACGACGTTTCGGTCTGTCCTGGACCATTCTCAAGTCGATTGTGAATGGTCCAGGACGGACCGAAACGTCGTCGTCCCTTCCCCTAGTGTGTGGTCTGGTCAACATACTTTAGCCACGTTATTGTGACTCATCGCCTGCTGCCAGAGTAAACTTCAAACAAGTAACTATCGCCCTTAAAACACCTTTAAACATCGAGCATGCATTCGCAGTGACCTCATTACATATAATATTTCAAATAGCCGACTGGAAATATTTACCCAGTGCTTTGACTAACAAATTAGGCCACATTTGACCAGGCCATATACCTCTCCCCCACCGATAGCCAATCACAAAACTGCCTCGCCGCAAAAGCATCAACAATCAGCTGACGCCCGAAACAAAACCCGCCGCCCTACCGTATGTCGCGTCTCCCTCTTACACAAGTCTCGTTTTAGTCACCGCTTCTGTATCTACAGCAAAAGACAAGAACGTGTAGTAATCTTAGTGGTAGTAATGGCGATGATCGATAGTCATAGTAAAAGTGATGGTGTTGATAGTACAATGGTGGTGATAGTGACAGTAATGGTCTTTCACCATCATTCACTCCCTCTCACCCGACGCCACAACACAGCAACAAGGAAGCGTCGCCACAACAACAGGACAACAAGGAAGCGTCGCCACAACAACAGGACAACAAGGAAGCGTCGCCACAACAACAGGACAACAAGGAAGCGTCGCCACAACAACAGGACAACAAGGAAGCGTCGCCACAACAACAGGACAACAAGGAAGCGTCGCCACAACAACAGGACAACAAGGAAGCGTCGCCACAACAACAGGACAACAAGGAAGCGTCGCCACAACAACAGGACAACAAGGAAGCGTCGCCACAACAACAGGACAACAAGGAAGCGTCGCCACAACAACAGGACAACAGGGAACGACGCCACAGCAACAAGGAAGCGTCGCCACAACAACAGGACAACAAGGAAGCGACGCCACAACACAGCAACAAGGACCCCAGCAACACGGTCACCGGATGCTACACATATCACCGTCGGTACAGTGACCACCAGTACAGCAACCCGTTCTCGTACTTTCTTACTGTCAATATTGACTTATTAAATACGTGCATATGTGACATACTAAACATACTAGTTTACCTTGAAAAGCTTCATAGAAAACACCGACCTTATGTAACCTTCTTAGTATGTTATGATAAGCATCTTATTGCTTCGTAATTACAATTACTTTACCTATACCTATAATAGGTTAAGTAATAATTGTAATTATGAAGCAATAAGATGCTTATCTTAACATACTAAGAAGGTTAGGTAAGGTCAGTGTTTACTATGAAGGTTTTCAAGGTAAACTAGTATGTTTAGTATGTCACATATGCACGTATTTAATAAGTCAATATTGACTATACGAAAGTGCGAGAACGGGTTGAGTACAGTGACCACCGGCACAGTGACCACCGGCACAGTGACCACCGGCACAGTGACCACCGTCATGAATCATATCCGAAAACTTCCCAATGCACATAATTATTTTCTCGAATTAAGACTGGTGGAAAAATACAGACCTTTGTAGTCGTCGCAGAGATGCGGTTTTGTTCTATATTGCATAATGTGTATATTGTACATTATTAAACTGACTAATACACACGTATTAAACAGTTTACGAGCTGGGAAACCTGGGAACCTATGGTTATTATTGTTATAAAAAACTTAGCGTTTCGATCATAAATTATTTCACAAATGCAAACTAAGCCACAATGATTACATTTTTAGTTATAAATGCTTGGTGAATTTTGGACAAGTCATTTTCCTTTCTTTCCTTATTTGTGGGATGGGTTATCTATTTTCAGTCTCAGTATGTGACTTATTCTCTACTTGTACGTTACTACAGGAGTGGGCGGGGATGTAGAAACCATGACCCGGCGTTGCTCGGGGTCACGGACGCCACATGTGGAACATGTTCACTACATTCTTCATCTCTAACCATCTTCCCTACATATAGTCTTCTGCACTGTCACCATCTTAACTACACGCCATCCGTCTCCTTTGCAGCCTTCCCGACCCCATCATCACCTTCGCTTCCCAAGTGATGTCCAACCACTTGGGCTGGACGGTAGAGCGATGGTTCTCGCCTCTTGCAGATCGGCGTGTAATCCCCGACCGTCCAAGTGGTTGGGCACCATTCCTTCCCTTCAACCTTATCCCTTTATCTCTTCCTAGTGGTATAAATTCGTAATGGATTAGTGCTTTATCCTGATAATTACCATCACCCCTACCCTTCACCACCACCTCCACTCTTCACCATTTTCCCTTCATCACTGTAATGCTAGTGAGGATGGAGTTTATTTTTTTTATTTAGCGAGACTGGAAATGAGTATGATTTGCCATTTCATGCAAAGATGGTCATTGGGGCCGGGCTCCGACCCGGCTACGACCATCCATACAAAAAGACCAATCATCCTGCAAAGTTTGGAGAGGTTAGCCCCAATTGTTTGTCAATACATTAGAACATATACACATTATCTTTTAAACATGTCTCATTGACTATGACCGCATATTCAGTATTTACTATCTTCTGGTTTAGGGCTTTTATCCCTCTATTTTCCTAGCATCAGGCTTAGCTGAAAGAGGAGTTCTCCAAAACTCATTTTGTTATTTTGGAGAACTCCTCTTTCAGCTAAGCCCTGATGCTAGGAAAATAGAGGGATAGAAACCCTAAACCAGAAGATAGTAAATACTGAATATGCGGTCATATTCAATGAGACATGTTTAAAAGAAAACCTGCTGCCAGTACACACCACATTATCTTACATTACAGATATGTATTATGAATGCCGTGTAACATAATAGATGCGCCATGTTCGAATGAAGACGTTTTATATTCACATATGCCACTTTAAAAAGTAGCACGTGTCACGTGTACTTCAAACAATAACGCGTGCAGGCTCGTAATCATGGAGCTGCTAAGACTGTACTTGAGGAGCCACGCGTGCACCAAACATCTGGCACAAAGAAGGTTTAAACAAAGACAACAAACATGGACACTACACGGGAGACATCTCCCGTCACGCAGGGTGCAGTCGCACCTCCACAGATCTCCAGTATCAGCTCTTGATACTGGTAATGGCTCAAAAGGGCCACCACTTACGGTCTCTTCATGCCTGTGCCACCTTTTGGGTGGCTTAATCTTTATCTTTATCTATGGACACTACAGGCACCCTTGGGTCTCCCCCAGGGTCATGTCCTCTTCTGCTGGCTGGCTGCCTCGTCACGCCTCACTCTGGCGGGATATTCAGAATGTTTTGGTGCTACTGAACACTAATTGCGGTGGTGTGTAGGTGGTGGTGGTGGTGTGTAGGTGGTGGTGGTGTTACCACCCCCTCTCTTCTACTTGTCTTGAATCTGTTCCATTACTTAACTTTAAAATCTTCCGATTTTTTTTTTGCGAATCTGACTTCCACTAAAGTTGACTTCCACGACTACTACCTCTACTACTACTACTTTCGGTGCAATCTACTAATGGATCACCCATACAGGGTGCAAGTATTTCCTAAAGTTTCTTCTTCAAATTTTCTTTTTTTTTTGCTTCCTCATATGTCTTCTACCTTCTCTCAATTTAAAGAGGCTGTCCTTATCCACCTTATCTGTTACCCCGAGTATCTTGTGTGTTGTGATCCTCTTTTCTTCTCTTTTCTAGGGTTGTGAGGCTTAGTTCTCTTAACCCATCCACGAAGCTTAAATATCTTTCTTGTAGCACTAATCTTGTTGCAAACATCTGTAGTTCCCTTCCCTTCATGGTGATGCGGCTTTCTAATCTCCTTTCTCCCTTTCCTATCTTTATTACCATACACTTGTTGGGATTATATTCTAGCAACCATATGTTCGCCCTCTCCTGGAGTTTTGTCAAAGTCTTCCAATGATTTGTTCAGTCCTCATCGGTTTTTACTTTTAGCATTAGCTTTGTAAGATTAATAATTCCAACACGAATTCTCTCAATATTTCTTATGTTTCTTTTCACTGTCGATGGTAATTGAAAAATCAATTCTCCAAAATTCATTTTTATTTCTAGTCAGTTATTTACATAAATTAGGAGCAATAGGTCCTAGAAAGCTTTTTTGGGTAATCTCGCTTGTTACATTCCTCCAGTTCGAAACCACCTCTCTAATTACGACTTTATTTCCTGTCATTTAGATACTCCCTTTTCTATTTAGATGTCTTCCCAGTTATCCCGGTAGTGGTGGTGGTGCGATAGTGACAGTTCACGGTAATGAGTTTCATAAGAACATGAGCAGAGTCCGTCGGAGAGACGTAGACCTGGTGCCAGAGAGAGAAGACACATATACAGACAGGGTGGGATAACTCTGGCACACAGCGTGCACCACAAGCCGGCTGCTGATCTTAAGATAACACACACCAAAGCCAAACCCCTAAATGCGTACTGGAACAGGCTTATCTGCGGCGTAAGCATCCTCTATACACGCCATTTCACAGTTTGGAACATACATCACCTCCCAACACTGAAATATGCCACTAAATCATCTTTTAACAAGAAATCTCGCACCTACAACGTACAGAGGCTTAAACACTGGCATTCCCTTCGCTGGGAAATGTTCCCTAAATCTCCCCGGTGATACGGACTATAATGGCCAATCAACCGTCCCGTGAGATGAACCCGCTTTGTGACTGAAAAATAAGTACCGAGTAAGTTAAGAGGGTGACATTATAATTATAGGGGTGATAGTGTCTGAAAATAAGGTGGAAAACAGATCATCGTTTCCTGTCACGGCCAACACATGGGTGTTAGCCGCTCTGGGAGACTGCGGCAGGAGATGTTCTCCCTTCTAAGACCCGCTAGGAGACCGCGGCAGGAGATCTTCACCCTTCTAAGACCCGTTAGGAGACTGCGGCAAGAGAGATCTTCACCCTTCTAAGACCCGCTGGGAGACTGCGGCAGATCTTCTCCCTTCTAAGATCCGCTAGGAGACTGCGGCAGGAGATCTTCACCCTTCTAAGACCCGCTGAGAGACTGCGGCAGAAGATCTTCACCCTTCTAAGACCCGTTGGAAGACTGCGGCAAAGGATCTTCACTCCTCTAACATTCGCTGTTATCTACTTCAGAAAAACGGCAACGAGATATTAATTCTGACAATATTTTAGAGGTGTAGTAGTGGTGAGGACTGTGTGAGGTGGGGGGGAAGGGGGAGACTGTTAGTACTGTTGAGGACTAAGGTAAACTGGTTTACCGAGTACAAAACATAAAAGTCGCCTCTTTTAGAACAGGTGTGTACTGTATATACCTAAACATAACCGGTACGTTGACCACTCTACCACGCAGATCCTCTAAGAGAGACCGAAACTTCGGAGTTTATCCGCAACACCTCGATCTCCCTGGTAATGCAATGGCTTGATGAAAAACGTATTCTGACCGCTTACCATTGCTGGTGTCCTTGGGAGATCGAGATGATGCGGATAAACTCTGAAGTTTCGGTCTCTCTTAGAGGATCTGCGTGGTAGAGTGGTCATCGTACTGGTTATGTTCAGGTGCGCGAACACCTGTGCTTTCTGGGTTCGAGTCTCTTCCGCTGGTGGTGCCCGTTGTGTGTGTATATATATTACATACACACACACACACACTATATCCAATAAGTAACGTCATCGTCAGAAAAAATGAAAAATTTCATCACCCAGAACAACAAGAGTTGTTGTTTAAGATTCGCTACTTTGAACAAAAATTTCCAAGTAGCACGGGCTACGGTGAGCCCGTAGACCTTGAGGTCACCTCGTGTAGATATCAGATGTGTGATATAGATATCACACATCAAGAAACCTAGAGAGAAAGAGAAACAAGACATTAAGATATTCAACATTCGAATATGTTTTTTCCCTTGTATAGTACAGGCACAGTACTAACATCAAATACAATATAAAGAACCACTTTTTTTATTAAATGAGGACAGACTAAGAACTGGGAGAGATTTATCGAGTGAAGAAAATACCTAACCACATGGACCATCGGGAATCGAACACCTATCAGCCTTCAACATCTTAATACTTATCCGATTTTTGTCGTACAGTTTTAAGCCAAGACATACTGAAGAAGCAACAGGCGTGTATAATGCAACACATACACGAGGCATCAGCTGCAAGCTCAGCAAGCCACAATGTAGGACAGAAAACAAAAGATTTTTTCCCCTGTTGGGTAATAAATCCTTGGTATCACCTACCCACCGAAGCAGTAAAAGTCAAGACTGGACTTTAGTTTAAAAATCAGCTGAAAATGTTCTCAGGGACAATGGAGAGGGGTGTACTTTGACATGCCGCCGTCTGCCTGTCCCCCCGTCGAGGCCACTAGAGATGGTGGCCTTCAGGTAAATTCGTGCAAATAAGCAGCCTATATATTGAAGTCATGGTCGTCTTAGACTCCGAAGGACGAACATCACTGTCTCAGCAGTATACCCAACAGCAGTGTATAAACAGCCAAGACTGCCTCAGCAGTATACCAAGTAATGACTCCCTTTCACCAAAGTTTACCTGTGTCAACATTGTCAATCGTCACATGTTATTTTTACTCTAATTGCAATGGATTTTAATATCAACATAATATTACTTTTCTAATATCTGCCAATATTATAATGTATAGCAATATGTGCCATAATTCGTGTATTTTCGAACGCAGTGAATCCTTATAAATGAAAATACATTTCTGAAGTTTTTGAATGTGAATCAGGTAGCACCACGGTCGTGCCTTTATCGTGTATAGAAGCAAGCCCAGGACGGACGTTGAAGAATGTTATATCTAAACAGGAGAATTCTGGCCCCCCTGATCCAGCCAGAGGCGCTGTGGGGGTTCCGGATGAACTCCAGATGGTCGGCGAAGCACAATCTTCCCTTCCCTGGTGGGATATCTTAACTTTTCATTAAAATTGTAATCAAACTTACTTGTGAAGTAAGTTACGCAATAAAAATTATATTACAAGTTTTTGTTATTAGCCAATTATTACATTATAGTTCATTAATAGGCTAATATTATCATAAACAAAACGTTAATGATAATATTAGCCTATTAATAGGCTAATAATATCATTAACGA